AATTCCTAATTTTCGAGTTGTTAGTTTTCTACGGAATTCCGCTAGAGGGCGCATCCAAAATACCCGGATGACGAGCCTGAGTGGGGTTGTTTTTATTGAAATTCTGTATTCTTACATGCGTAAATCAATAGATTGGAAAAGCAAAAAAGTTCCAGAACTCCGCAAATTTCTTCAGGATCGTGGTATAACTTGCAGCAATGTTCGTAAAGCTAAACTTTTTGAACTTGTTGAGTTAGCAAACGAGTTAAATGTTCGCCAAGAGTCAAACAATCGTCGTCGTACTGTAAAACACAGTGAGTCGACGATAACTCTGGTAGATCCGTGTAACGTAAAAACTTGGCAAAAAAACCTTCATACTTTGCCTTTGTTTGAAATAGCTGATATGTTCGCATATTTGTTGCATCGAAGTGACTGGTCAACCACACTGAAAGAATATCGACTTGATACTGGTCATTTACTTTCCGTAAAGCTTCATCATGTGCAGAATACAGAATTTATTTTCATTATGGCAGAGTGTATTCGGCAATGATCCATGAAAGAAAATCCTTACAAGCCATGGTTTATTATTAAATCAAACTCTAAAATAGTTTCTGGTGTTTGTAACTGTGTAGTGTAAGTTTGATTTAATGATTCACAAGGCGATCAGCGGATGCAGTTATCATCAATGGACACACGTTTTTTCCTTCCGTAGTTATTTCAACTTCAACTTCGAAACAAATGCCATCATAAGGATTCTGAATAAGAAGATCGATGTGGGAATCGGCAACGAGCGAATTTTCCATCAAATCTGGCTCAATGTTTTCGTTTGCGCTCGTCTCGGGAAGCTGACAGAGTCTTCGTTTTTCAATCGATGTATAACTGCGGTTCAAGTTATTGAACTAAAAAAATACTGGCGCAGGATGGAAAATGTCGTGAACAAACCCAGGAATATAGTTTGGCGTACACTCAGGTTCCCGACGACGCATTCGAATCCACTGGCGTTAAGTATATTGCTTACAGCAGACGCCGCTCAAATTTCAACCCCACCACGAACGTTGAGCGGACTGTCATCCGGGTACTTTGAGAACGCCCTCTATCGAATTTCGTGAGAAAAATAGTAACTCGGAAATTAGGAATTATTCGCTACTCAGATTGATCAATTATCATAATAGCGCGAACATGACCTATATTCAATCCAGTTAGCTTACCCAGCTCAGGTATTTTCACCAACAGTGGCAATATTTATGATTACATTCTGTATAATCTGTACGTCGACAGAATAAACAAATTGGAAATGTCACATTAACTACTTATTTACATGAAAACACAATTGACACTACTTCATCTCCAATGATATTGATCGTGACTGGTCTTTATATTTCCCAACAGAAGATTCAATTACTATATTAGTGGTTATTGTTGGGGAAGCACCAATCTATACAGTCATTCTTTACTATTGAATCATCGGACTACGATATTTATTAATATCTGTGGTCAATACCAGTCATAATAAACAAATTCCACACATGATTCTATGTCATTCTATGTTCCTGTATTGTTATGCATATTTATTCAAATGTGTTACTTATAATTATTTTTACCTATAGAGATATAATATTTTCAGATGGACATTTGTTGCTTATATTTAATTATCTCTTTAAACTTTACTAGATCTTCTTTCAAATTTTACA